AATACAGTGTCTTATTAAAATAGCAATATCCAACCTATGTTAGTGCCTTAGTTATATAGCAACCTAAATGCTTCAATATTTCACAGCCATATGTTTTGGGTTTGTCCCAGACTCAAAAGCTTTTGGCAGGCAGTATTTAAAACAATCTCATCAATATGCAAGAGAAATGTAGGACCAAGTCCTATAACTGCTCTGTTTGAGGTTGTCCCACCAGCTATACCACTAACATCACATCAGGCCAGTGCAATAGCCTTTATTACCCTACTCGCTAGAAATTTAGTACTACTTAACTGGAAGAAAGCCGTCCCTCCATCCCACAAGCGTTGGGTGGAAGAAGTCATGTCCCATTTGAAACTTGAACACTTGAGACATACCGTAAATGGCTCCATCCAAATGTATAACCTAAACTGCCAACCATTTCTTTTTTATTTTGAGACAGAATTCTCTTGTGTTTTTTTTGTTCTCAGTGTTAGCACCTACTGTTGTGAACATGTGTGTCACGTATATTGTTTATTGTTTGATGTATTGTTTAAAATTTTTTGAAAAATCAAAAAGATTTGAATAAACACAAGAGGAGTTATTCATAAGAACCTAAATAAAATTAAGACTACTCTCTTATAGAACAAAATAGCAAGACAATCAAATGTGGACTATTAAATATCAGATCTCTCTCATCCAAATCTCTGTTAGTGAATGATTTGATAAGTGAACATCATATTGATTTATTGTGCCTTACTGAAACCTGGTTACAGCAGGAAGAACATGTCAGTCTAAATGAATCCACCCTACCTGGTCACAGTAACTGTCACATCCTTTGAAGCACAGGCCGAGGTGGAGGTGTGGCAGCAATTTTTGACTCAAGTCTATTAATCAACCCTAAACCTAAACATAGTTCTAACTCATTTGAAAGCCTTACTGTGAGTTTCTCACACCCAAACTGGAAAACTCAAAAGCCAGTTCTATTTGTTATTGTATACCATCCACCAGACCCCTTTTTCAGACTTGTGAATTCTCAGACTTTCTGTCTGATTTAGTGCTTAGTACAGATAAAATAATCATAGTGGGCGACTTTAATATTCATGTAGATGCTGACAATGACAGCCTCAGTGCATTCAATTCATTGTCCGTGCAAATTCTCAGTCATCCAGGTCGTAGTATGCTGAAAAACATAGAAGAAATCTTCTGGACATAGTTTCAGGTAGAATATGTTTCACCTCTCATCCAAGAGGCTTCATCAGTTGTGTCCGACTGGTGGTGAGCAGGAGGTATGGGCGGTGTTTCAGTCCTTCGATGGCCAACAATGTCCCCTAATGACTGAGATGTTGCAGTTCCAGTCCTTTTGTGGCCAACAATGTCCTATAATGACAAGAGTTGTTAGGGTCACCTGTTTTTGAACCCTCACATGTGGACTGATGCAAATGGATGGAAATGTTTGTGTAGAGATTTCAAAGCAGAGCTGTAGGTGGCTGACAAGTTGTGTCTTAGTCCACTGGCCCCATTTAGAGAGGGGTGTTCTATTTGGACAAAAATGGCTTCTTTAACTCCTCTCTCAAACCAACGGTGTTCTCTGGAGAGGATCTGGACTTCACTGTCCTCAAAAGAATGTCCTTTGTCCTTCAGGTGGAGGTGGACTGCTGACTCTGGTCTACTGGAGTTGGCCCTCCTGTGTTGGGCCATGCGTTTATGAAGCGGCTGCTTAGTTTCACCAATGTACAAGTCATTACACTCCTGACTACACTTAATTGAATACACCACATCACTCTCTTTGTGTCTGGGTGTTTTGTCCTTCCGATGGACCAGCAGGGTGTTCCCTGGTTTAAAGTTGACTGGGATATTGTGGTGGTGAAAAATCCTTTTTAGCTTCTCTGATAAACCAGTCACATAAGGGATGGTAGTGCTATCCCCTCTTGTTTCTGGTTTCTCCCTGTTGGTGTTGGGCCTCTTCCTTGCTTTGGTGAAGGCCCACTTGGGGTATCCACAAGCCTTAAGGGAATTCTGGATGTGTAGTTTCTCCTTTGTCAGTTCATTATTAGACTCAATTGGCTTTTCTCAAACTCTAAATAAACCCACTCACTGTTTTAATCACACCCTTGATGCTGTTCTGACATATGGCATTGAAACTGAACACTTAATAGTTTTTCCCCCAAACTCTTTTCTGTCTGACCATTTTATAATAACTTTAGAATTTACATTAATGGATTATACACTATGTGGAAAACTGTTCCGCTACAGTAGATGTCTATCGATGTCTATCTGACAATGCTGTTACCAAACTGAAGAAAATAATTCCTTTAGTTCAGTGCCATGTGCCAACACAATGGAGGGTGGCCACCTTATCTTTACTCCTACACAAGTCGATAATCTTGTTGATAGTACTGCAGTCTCCCTGTGTACAACACCTTATACTGTTGCCCCTCTGAAAAAGAAGGCAGTGAAGCAGAGGAGGCTAGCCCCATGGTACAGCTCGCAGCTCCAGTGCCTAAAGCAGGCATCACAAAAACTGGACAGGAGGTGGCGTGACACTAAGTCAGAATAGTTTTTCTAGCTTGGAAAGATAGTTTAATAATGTATAAAAAAGCCCTTCGTAGTGCCAGAACCGCATATTATTCATCACTGATAGAGGAAAATAAGAACAACCCCTGTGACTTCATGTGTTTCTTGGGGACGACTGTGGTTCAGTGGGTAGAGCAGTTGTCTCCCAACCAAAGGTTCTAATCTCAGTGCCTGCAGTCCACATGTCGAAGTGTCCTTGGGCAAGACACTGAACCCCCATGTTGCCCCCAATGGTTAGAGCCATTGGTTGGTGCCACAGATGGCTTCCTCGGTTCTGTACCAGAAACAAATACCTTGTGTGTAACATACTTGGCCAAATAAAGGTGATTATTATTGTTATTATTTACAAATAAAATCAAAACTATTAGAGAAAAAATTAATCAAATAATTCCCACAATTCTTACAGATGTGCCATCAACTACAATGGCTTTAGAATCATCTGTAAGACATCATTTACACTTAGACTGCTTCTCTCCCATAGATCTCTACTTTACCTCAATAATTGCTTCATCTGATTCTCTCCCATAGATCTCTAGTTTACCTCAATAATTGCTTCATCTGATTCTCTCCCATAGATCTCTAGTTTACCTCAATAATTGCTTCATCTGATTCAACATCAACAGGACCTCATCCTGACCAGGATTCTCAAAGACATCTTGCCTCTAATCAGCATGTCTATATTAGATCTGATTAACCTCTCTCTATTAACAGGCTATGTTCCACAGGCTTTTAAGGTTGCTGTAATTAAACCTCTACTGAAAAAGCCTACTCTTGACCCAGGAGTTCTAGCTAATTATAGACCAATATCCAATCTCCAGTTTATTTCTAAAATTCTTGAAAAAGATGTGACAAAGCAGTTATGTGACCACTTGCACAAGAACAATTTGTTTGAGGATTTTCAGACAGGATTTAGAGTCCATCATAGTACAGAAACTGCATTGTTGAAAGTCACCAACGATCTCCTCCTATTCTCAGACAAAGGACTTGTCTCCATACTTGTCCTCTTAAATCTCAGTGTTGCTTTTGACACCACTGATTGCAGCATCTTACTACAAACTTGAACATGCTAATGGGATTAAAGGAACTGCACTAAATTGGTTCAGATCTTATTTATTGGAAAGATTCCAACTTAGTGATGGCATTCCACAGGGCTCTGTGCTAGGTCCAGTTCTCCTCACTTTATACATGCTCACTTTAGGCAATATTATCAACAAACACAGCAGAAATTTTGATTGCTACACAGATGATACTCAGTTAAATTTATCTATGAGCTCAGATGAAACTTGGACTGAGCGATACTGCACATGAAGCCGGATGCCCCACTGTAACTTCTTCACCTTGTGGTGTTTTTCACCTTTACTTTGTCTATGCAAATGCCCTGTGGACCAATAACATAAACCCAGGAAACACACAGTGGTCTGATGGAACAAGCATTTTTCCAGTTTTACAAGAGATGATTATTTGACAGTCTTTGTAACTTTGCTTGAACCTAAGAGACAAGCTTGACCAAGTCCCTAGAATGGATTGACATGCCATCTATGTACACAATAATGCATCAGTAAAGAAAATCACGAAGTGCCTCATTTATGAAAGACGAACATTGCTGGGGCAATGGCCAGACCAAAGGGCATCACCAGGTATTCATACTGTCCCGGGAGGTGGAGAAGTCTTCTATTCATCCCCACTCCAAATGACTTGTCTCCATACTTGTCTTCTTAGATCTCAGTGCTGCTTTTGACACCATTGATCACAGCATCTTACTACAGAGACTTGAACATATTATTAGGATTAAAGGAACTGCACTTAGAACTGTTCAAATCTTAATTATCGGAAAGATTCCAATTTGTTCATGTTAATGATGAATCTTCCACACAGACTGAAGTTAGTCATGGCATTCGGCAGGGCTCAGAGTTAGAAGGCAGTCCTAGAGACTTGGTTTATGTGTGATTTAAAGGACATATCCTGCTCAAAAATGAGTCCAAGGTTCCTCACAGCAGTACTGGAGGCCGGAGCTATGTCATCTAGAGTAAATACATGGTTAGACAGCAGATTTTTAAGGTTTTCAGGTCCATGTACAATAACTTCATTTTTATCAGAGTTTAGGAGTAAGAAATTACAAGTCATCAAGGGCTTTAAGTTTTTAAGACATGCTTGACGTTTGACCAAGTGATCTGATTCATCTGGGTTCATAGATACAGTAAATATAACTATCATTTGCATAGCAATGGAAATTTATGCTGAATTTCCTGATAATATTGCCTAAAGGGCAGAGCATTTATAAAGTGAAGGGAATTGACCCTAACACAGAGCCCTGTGGAACGCCATGACTAACTTCAGTCTGCCTGGAAGATCCATCATTAACATGATCCCATAAAAATAAACTTTAGTGCTTGGGTTAGATTCTGAATGTGTTTGTGTTTACTAACTCCCCAATTCCTTGTTTGCAGGCCATAAACTAGCCAAGTCTACACCAACCTTCCTTTCACCATCAGGGAGTGAGACCTCCAAAATGGTGCTAAGAGATGAGGAGCTCCAGCTGGAGTGTATTGCTGCTGGACTGTGAGCTTTAACACACACACACACACACACACACACACACACACACACACACACAAAAGATGAGTTAATTTTAATTGTACTGAACAGTACCAGGACATTATGTTTCTCCAGATAACAGGATAAATATATTATCTTTACTAAGAAAACAATATAACATAAAAAAATGTAGTTTTCTTTAAATAACAAGACAAAATTTTCTTTTTGCTTTTTTTTTGAGACAAATTCTTTGTTAATAGAAAACTTAAAAAAAATTCTGTTGTGGTGGATGGCCAGTAATTAGGCAAGGAAGGCTAAGATTTAACAACAACTATATTTACAATGTGATCAGTAGAACATGGTACCATGAAGAGGAAACAACAGGAAGATGCAACAATATACCCGTGAACCCCACAAGATATGCACTAACAACATCAGTGTCCCAAGTGGCAACAGCATGCAACATAAAACACTGGAGTGAACACAACAAATTTCAAGATAAGAAACTTTATGATCTTGAGGTAGCAATTTAATGAAATGCAGTTCCTGCTGTTTGATAAGGAAACTATTATATGACTTCAGTTTATGTGTGATTTTATACTAATTGTAACTAATCTAAAGGACATATAGTTTCTAGTTATTTCTTTAAGAGTTTAACGAGGATATTTACTAGGCCTGCCACAAATTATTGTCAGATGTGCGAAATATGGCAGGACTGCTGTTTTACAGTTTAGCAGCATATTTGCTAACACTGGTGATGTAAATGAGCACAGCTGCACATATGTTAATTTGAATTCACCACTGCTTAGGATCTGCTGCCTCCAGGCCATTGCACACATCTGGACTGAGAGAAAGCACAGAGGAAAGTCTAGGTTTACAGTGACTGAACTTTAATATTGTTGAAGAAACATGTTTCAGAACTGCAATCACTTAGAATCCTGCCAGTCAAATCATCTTTTATATTGTTCAGTAACTGAACAAAAGCCTGTACAAGTTCCCCACATTTGACACCTGTTTTCTCCTGATCTTAATTTTTTGCTGCAATTCCCTCTGTTAAAATGGTGGTGAATCAGGTGCCAATGGTATTTGTATAAATTTCCATTCCCTCCTCCTTGATTTTTATGTCTCTGAATGGGAACGCCTTAAAATATGTACATATTGTGTGAGACCAGATGCACAAATTCCTGTAATGCTGCTTTTCTTCTTTGTGTCTATTGCAAAACCCCACTGTGACTCCTTATAAACATGCAATTTAACTGTTTAGCACCAAAAAATGAGCTACAAATGCTTGGTAAATATCTCCCTAACTATCTGTAAGTGGTCCAAACACCTGAAAAATTAGTTTTGATGTGATGGTTTTTTCTTTCAACACAGAGGAGCAACATGCTATTTACACCAAACCCACTCTTGTGTCCTTCCTCCCCTACAGCCCGACACCTACCATCAAGTGGTTTAAGAAGGGTGGGGACCTGCCAGGAGGGAAAGTGAAGTTTGAGAAGTACAATAAGACCATGAAAATTATCAGTGTGTCAGAGGAAGATGCTGGGGAGTATGTATGCATGGCCAACAATCAGTTAGGCAGCATTCGTCACTCCATCTTTGTTCAGGTCAAAGGTGAAGAGGTCATGAATGTATGTTTTTATACATGTCTTAAATTGTGACTGAGTCCATCATGTTAATCTGACTCCCTCTGTTCCACAGCGGCTCCTTATTGGCTGGACAAACCCACAGACCTGGTGCTAGCCCCGGATGAGAATGGACGACTGGTGTGTCGTGCCAATGGCAACCCTAAACCTAACATCCATTGGCTGATCAACGGACAGCCTATAGACAGTATGTACAGCTGTTTCAGCTTTCCTTGTCTTATTGTATTCTAACAAGCTAATGGGTTAACAAACTTGTTAACAAGCTGGTTAAAAAATTTGTTGTGCCTTTATGTTATGATATATTTAATTTTATATAGCATATTAGGATTATTGGTAATATGGCTAGCAAGTTTTAAACATTATCCACAGTTATTTACTCATTAACAGAAATGAGGAGGTTGCAAATTTCAGTTTGTCAGAAATAGATTAATTCATTTTATGATAGTATTTATTATTATACAGCTCAGTGTGATTGTGACTATTGCTGTCTTTTCCTGTAGTCTCTGAGTAGCTTCACTCAGCAATCGGATGACTGCTAGACGACAACTAGCTAATAGCTGCCTCAGAGTAGGGGACTGATTATATTTAGTTGATTATAGTTATTTTCTTGGAACTTTTCAGATACAGTGTCCTAATGCTCCACCATTGCTTCACATTAAAAACCTTTTCTGGCCCTTTATTGTCCTTCCCATTTCTTCTGCCCCTAGGAGCTCCAGTCAACCCAAGCAGACAGTTGCTGGGTGACACCATCATCTTCCGCTCGGTGCAGATGGGAAGCAGCGCTGTCTACCAGTGCAACGCTTCCAACCAGCATGGCTATCTGTTGGCCAATGCCTTTGTCAGTGTTCTCGGTGAGCCACAGAAAAAGAAGGTTGTTTTTAAAATATCATCAGAGCAGCCACTCACATTGGCAGGGTGTCTCTATGGTGTAGTCTTAAAATCTTAAACATATTTATCTTATATGTGTAGTATGATCACATTTTGAGTGCATTGTATAAAATACAATTTTTTCATATACATTATGTGTACTAATGTTTGCCTTGTTCACATTACATTAAAAATGTAAACTATTAAGTGACTTATAGGGTCCTTGCTAGTGACTCTCCCTCTCCCTAGACATGCGTCCAAGGATGCTGGGCCCTAAAAACCAGCTTATTAAAGTCATTGAGAACAACCGCACCTTCCTGGATTGTCCCTTCTTTGGTTCCCCTCTGCCAGAGCTACGCTGGTGAGCATTTTTTTTTTTTTTTTTGCAGCCTACTCAACTCTAGAAATATTGGTTTGCATCCTCCTACATCAGTAATTTCAGGTGTATCCACAAGTTTACATTTTCAGGTTTTAATCCATGTCCATATGTTTTCTATGTGTGTAGGTTTAAGAATGGACAGGGCAGTGGGTTGGACGGTGGTCAGTATCGTGTTTACATCAATGGCACCCTGGAGATAAAACGGGCCAGAGCAGAGGATGAGGGCACCTACACCTGTGTGGCCAGCAGTATCCTGGGAACAGCTGAGAACCAGGTGCGCCTGGAAGTCAAAGGTCAGACATTACTTCACTGCTGCACTCAGACTCATCTGAAATGTCCCAAACGCAAAATGAACCTGCGCTAATGTAATCATAGCAAAATATTGACACGAAGTCATTCTGTAACCACGGATGTCAGGCTTTTGTGTGAAATATGAAATGATTTCTTTTCCTTGTGCCAAACTCAGTGTTGGACTACATGCACATGTGTCTTTTATTGAAGTGCCTCATTTTGTGTTTACTAACATATATTTGTATTTAAACTGAGTCTATTGCAAAATCTGAGGAGTCGAGGTAGAAATGAAAACAATAAAATTTTAAAACAAGTGAACTAATCTGCCATGTGGTGACATAACTTCCAATTTAGTTAAGCAAGGATCTTGATTACAGTAATCAGAAATCTTTTTTCAAGGGTGACTTCTTATATTATAAATGCATCGTGGGGTTCTTAAGGGTTTGTTATGTGGCCACTACTTTTTAATCTATACACATTTTTCAGTGGAGGCATGATGACACAAGACCAATTGACACTCTTTTTAGAAGCATTTTAGAATTCAGTGCCTGGATGTCACAAAACCTTTTACAGCTCAAATAAAAAAACGAATTTTTTATTAAGTTTCTAAGGCTCAGAAAGTAAAACTGGCCACAAAATTAATTTCTTTACCCTGTTACGGTGGCATGGTGGTGCAGCGGTTAACGCTATTGCCTCACAGCAACAAGGTTCTGGGTTTGAGTCTGGGCTGACCTGAGGCTTTTCTTTGCGGAGTTTGCATGTTCTGCCAGTGCCTGCATGGGTTCTCTCTGGGTACTCAGTCCCACAGTCCAAAGATATGCCTGTAGGAGTAAGTGTGTGTGTCAACCCTGTGATAGACTGGTGACCTGTTCAGGGTGTGTCCCGCCTCTTGCCCAATGTCAGCTGGGATTGGTTCCAGCATCTCTGTGACCATATTCAGGATAAGCGGTATAGATAATGGATGGATGGATGGCTCATGTGATCATCTCTAAAATATTGCCAAAGTTTTGCCAGAACTGTTTGGTGAGGCAGCTTTTAGCTTTTTGAAACAGTCTACCTTGACAATTTGAGATCAGCTGAAATTGTTGACATTTTTAAACATAAAACCTGCCTGTTAGCTTTTATTTTATTTTAATGTATTTTATTGAAATGTATTATTTTACATTTGTTACATTTTATCATTTTTGAATGTGTGTGCATTCCCAAATTGTTTTCAAAGTTTTTACTATTCACTTTTTTGTCTTGTTATCATCTTGTTAGTTGTCAGTAAACCACTTTGAATGGCTTTAACCTATACAAAAGGTGCTATACAAATAAAGGCATTTCATTTCTCCTAATGTAAAATATCTGTCTATGGATGTAGTTTTTGACAATCATAATGGATTTTACATAAGTAAAGTTATGTCACTCTAGTGGGCTGAAAAAACTTGGAACAAGGCATCTGGCATCCAGATGCCTTCTTCTAAGTTAGAAGGCCTTAGATAGCCTAAGTTTTTTTCAGCATACTACACCTTGGATGACTAAGAATTTGAACGGACATGTCACCATAGTGGCAGATTTTGTTCACTTGCTTCAACAGAAAACAATAGATCTGATGAGCTTTGGTGGTAAATTGAATAACAGGTTTATGTGACCTTACAGTTATTAAAGATATTAAGAGGTGTGTGTTGGTGTGAATAAACCTTTTTTGGAAAGGACTGTCACATTCAACTCTACAATGACACTCAACTTCAACTGAATTTTTGAATGCATCTAAATATGAGCTCATACTTTATGCGCATGTATGTGGTTGTCCTCATTCTCCAACTCAGAGCCAACTCGTATAGTTCGAGCCCCTGAGCACCAGTCAGCCATCAGGGGCTCCATGTCTCGCTTTGACTGCAAGGTGAAGTCTGATCCCAGCCTGCCTATCACTGTAATCTGGACAAAGGACGACAAGCCTCTCTACCTGGGATGGAGGTAATGGCACCTAAAAGTGGCCTTTTTTTAACAACTGTAATTCTCCACTTATACATTTGTAAGGTCAAAACACCACCACCGCGTTTGGACAATATCTGTGTCCAAAGTACTCGATAGCCTAAAGTTTTAATTTTGATGCTACTATTTTCAGAGCTGCAAGTATGGTTCCAGTCTTGAAGTAGACATTCAGATTCTGTCACAATACTACAGTGACATTTTTGTATTTGTCTTCCTGTAGTAATCCTCACACAGTAATGCTGTTAGAACCCTTGTTTCTTGTTATAAGGTTAATATCTTTCAGATGTGTCTCACCAAAACAGGCAAACAAACAGAAAGCAGTGTGCATAATTGTATGGATGCTGTAAAGCATCCATACTATGTAATCCTGTTCTTTATTTATTGTGTGGATGCTGTAGCATCCACACTATGTTTTCCTCTTATTTATTATTATTATTATTCCGATTTCTTCCATACGTTTTTCGGCACTTAATTCCTTCAGCATACTTTCAGCTACAGGTATCAAAATGTTCAGTTTTTTAAGGACATGTGCATGTATTTTTCTTGCTTGTAACATTTATACTTTTTCAACTATTTAGCATTTTTCAACAAATTTTGCCCCCATTCAAATGAATGGGAAAAATATTCACATCTTAATAACTTCAGCATACCTTCAGTTAAAAACACTATTTCAAACACCTGTTATTTATTCAGCAACTCTTCAACTATTCATAATGTACACAGCGTTTTCATATCTTTTACAGTTTTTGCATAATTACTGTTTATATTTTATGCCTCATTTCAATAGCCACACCCTAGTAGTCCTCAGGATGTATGACTAGTCTTTCATTGTCATACACACACATACACACAGACACACAAACACCTACACACCCACCCATCAAAAGGCTCAGCTCTTGAAGGACATTCATGCTTATATTGAGAATTTTTTCTAAACTTCATACCTTTGAAATATTTTGCTTTATTTTGAAACTTTTGCACCATTCAAATGAATGGGAAAATTCTACTTCAACAGACTTTTAGCTATTTCAGGTAGCAAAATGTTCAGCACTTCAAGGACATTCATGCTTCTCTTCAGGGTTTTTCTAAACCTTATACCTTTGAATTATATAGCTTTATTTTAAAAGTTTTGCCACATTCAGATGAATGGGGAAATTCTACATCAGCATACTTTCAGGTATCAAAATGTTCAGCTCTTCAAGAACATTCATGCTTCCCTTCAGAATTTTTGTAAACTTTATACCTTTGAAATATTTAGCTTTATTTTGAAAGTTTTCTCTGATTCAAATTAATGGGACAATTCAACTTCAGCACACTTTCAGCTATTTCAGCTATCAAAATGTTCAGCTCTTCAAGGACATTCTTGCTTCTCTTCAGAACTTTTGTAAACTTCATACTTTTGAAATATTTAACTTTATTTTGAAAGTCTTGCCCCAATCAAATGAATGGGATAATTTTACTTCAGCATACTTTCAGCTTTTTCAGGTATCAAAATGTTCAGCTCTTCAAGGACATTCATACTTCTATTCAGAAGTTTTCTAAACTTCATACTTTTAAAATATTTAGCTTTATTTTGAAAATCTTGACCCATTCAAATGTATGGGTGTTAGCAGAGTATACCAAACATCACACAATAACAACGTCGTCTTGCTTTAGCGTTTCACAACAATTTGTGCTAACGCACTTCCTTTTATTAACCAATACTAAAAACACTCAGGTGCAATCATTCAAATCCTAATTAGGTCACATGATCACTACTACATACAAATCAATATGCAATATACAATATAAATACAAACACAATGAGAGCACATCATACATTAAAATGTCAACATCCCCACTTGCTCTCACATTTGTTACCCTTCTTCTTACACATAATTCATACACCAAACATAAATATGTTAAACTTCATTAATTTAAACTTTGTTGCTGGTTTTGTTAAAATATCTGCAAACATGTTTTCAGTGGGACAATATTCCAGACTGATTTCTCCATCATTCAACATCGATCTTACAAAATGGTATTTAATGTCCACATGCTTACATCTTTGTCTATACACTGGATTTTTTGCCAAAGCTATAGCACTCTGATTGTCTTCATAAACCTTAATTTCATATTTCAAACCATCAACATGTTGTAACAGTTGCTTTAGATATAAGCACTCTTGTATAGTTGCTGCTAACGCCATATATTCAGCTTCACAAGTTGACAATGCAACAGTAGACTGCTTTTTAGTCTTCCATGATACTGGTGGTCCATTCTCATTTAA